CCTCGGCATCGCCGTTTTCTGCAGACCACATGAACTCCTTAGAAATGGAACCGACCAGACCAAGCTTGCAAAAGGAGAGGGGGGTCTGTCAGTGTCTGAGAAATGCCTCTAGCAGCTAACGGAACATGAGCTAACCAGGGGCTGCTGCTGGCAGCCTTTGAAGGCTGGAAATCTAAGTCCACTGACTTTTGGAGATAACTTCAGGGTTGGGCCATGCCCCTCTGGCGTGCCACTTCCATCGAACATCATGACTCGAAACTTCCCGGCGCGCAGATGTAACGGCTTGGGTCAGGGCACCCTGCCTTCAGCGCGGGCTCCCTTAGGTCCTAAACGGTAAGCCTCACGATCCTTTGGGTACAGTGCGCCTCTTGCTCTGGAAAAGCTTCCCTCATCTTGAGCCATTCCATGTTATAGCATACTCTAGCCTTCGGGAAGACGTAAAGGTGTGCAGCCGGGCATCGCTGTCGCACTCTTGTGACGCTTCCAGAGCACAAAGCCGCAGGACAATGAGGCAGCCTCACAGGTAAGCTCTTCCCAAATGCTCAAGTTTTCTGCTGGAAGCTCTGGCATGCGCCAATGACATTTGCAGCAAAGTCGCCAACATGTCTCCACATGTCGATATATTTCAGACCTCTATGGGAATCCTTGGCACGATCGCATTGACAGCATGGCGGCACAACATCCTACCACCGCTTCCAAGGTACTCTGTGTCGGACAAATGAATCCTCGGTGTAGAGACATGACTGCCGCACTCGTGTCACTCATGCGAATTTCTAGCAAGGAATGAACTTGATCATTCGAGGGTCAATGCGAAGGCACAGGGCTTCCTCCCTCGCAGGCAAGTCTTCTGAGCCAAGTGGCAACGGCACTGGCAACATTCGGCAACGCATGGTGTCCGGGGCAAGCGGCAAGGGCGCAAGAGCCCTCGACCCTCAACCCTCAACCTTAGACCCTGAACCCCAAACCCTAGTTGCGCCAATGCCCCATGAAGCTGAACTCTGACAGCGGCTCCTGCTCTGGCACTGCCGGCACTTCCAGCTCTTTGAGCATCTTAGAAGAGCTGTGCAAAAGCGGGGTGATATACAACATATACAAGATAAAAAGCCGAGGGCCAGGCCCTGGAGCGCAACTCTCGGTAAGCCTCGCGCCTGGCAATCTCAAGATTCGCCAATAATCAATCAAAACCCACTTGTAGGTTGTATACAATATACACTAGAACATTTATAACATGGATGTATGTGTATACAAATATATATATATATATATATATATATACGTATATATATATATATATATACACACGTATTTATATATGTATATGTATATACATACGTGTATATGTATATGCATACATACATGCATACATGCATACATACATACATACATACATGCATAGGTACATAGGTACATAGATACATGAATACATAGTTACATAGATACATAGATACATACAGACAGACACACACACATACTCACATGCATGCATGCATACATGCATACATGCTACCAATAAGATAGAAAATGTATATATGAAAGAAAATGTATATATGAATGTACTATCATTATACGCTTGGACAGGTCCGTTCTTTTGTGGGCCTTGCCTTGCGCGCAGTGCCTCCTCACACTCCACGGTCCTGGAACAGTCTTTGCCACTTCACGAACAAGGCTCCAACATGCTTCATCCAAGGTTGTTGGGCAAGGCTCCAACATGCTTCATCCAAGGTTGTTGGGCATACATGGCATACACAGCACGTGAACCCGGTCTGAGTGTGCGCCAGAGCGCTTCTGCTACTTGGGGCATACGGCGCCACATGAACCCACTCATGACCTACCAGCCCTTCAGCCCATCTCTGCTCCCGCCCAGCAGTGCTCGCCACAGCGCAGGGCGCTCGGCATTCGAACCTTGAAGCCCATTTCGGGGTTTCCGAAAGTAGGGGGTGCCTTGTTCTTACTCGACGGGGATCCTAGTAGTTGGGGATCTATTTTGGGGGTGCCCCAATTTCGTACACCCCCATGAAAAAGAAGTTTAGAGGTGCTGAGATCCACGCTGCCGTGGCGGAAGGCGATGGCCGCAGCAGTGACCGAGTCTCCCTCCTGTGAATACCGTTTACCCTAAACCCCTATATACTAAGCCCTAAACCCTAAACCCTAGACATCACTAAGCCCTTACAGCCTTACAGCCCTAAACCCTAGACTCCCTAGACCCTAAGGTCATAGAGGCCACCGCCAAGGTCTTCAATTGCGAACTTCTGCCAAGGGCCTCCATGGCAGCTTTCAGCATCAAGCCTTTTTTTGCCTGCGGACGAGGGGCGAATGCAAGCACGGGCGCTGATGTTGGGCTTTCTCGGGTGTTTGGGCGGAACAGTAGAACAGCCGCTGGCACCACCGCCTCAGCCCAGCATCACACTACCACACCCACCGCCTACTCGAGAGGATTCCCCGGGTTGACATGGCCTCATCGACGTCGCCACTCAGTTCGTCTAGCGCGCGCTGCCTTCGCAGGAAGACTCATCCACATCAGCACCTGGAGAGCTCCCTTCTGCGGTCAAGGCACGCTGTTGACGGCACCTCGTCCGTATCCCACTGAACCTCCGGGGCAAACCAGGCTAAACACGCCTTACCACTGTGCATCCAGCTTGCCACTGCAAGATTTGCAACGATGGCGCTCAGGCACGTGCTGCAATCCGACTGTCCAGGGTGCTGGCGAGCCACCTGGCTTGGCAGTCGCGGCCAGTCATGGCCAAGCAAGCCCGCAAAAGTTCGCATGGCTAGCGCTTCGTAGGACCCAGTGCCTTGCCCTGTCAGTTTTCTGAACCCTTTGCCTGGAAGACTTCCGGCACGAATGTTAAGCAAAGCCTGGAAGTTGCATGTGCCAATCATGCCAAGACTCACTGTACTGCGGTTGCAGGTGGCAGAGAGTACCTGATTTGGCAGCGAGCAGCACATCTGCGAAAGCTTGCCTACCTCTGCAGAAAGCTAATCTTCACTGCGCACTTCACACCAAGCTGAGCCCAAAGTTCCACGACCTTGCAGAAGCAAGAATCTAAGAGATATTCAACATACCCCTTGGCCATAACCTTAAAGGAAATTTAGGGGTATGGTAAAATCCTTCCTTAGACTCTCCTTCTTGTAGGTTAAGGGGTATGGCTTTGGGGTATGTTGGATATATTATTCTTAGACAGAAGATGACAGAAGCATCTTGTATGCCGACCTTGCCTGGTTGGCAGGAAGCCAATCGCATGTTCAAAGCTGCAGCTACTGTATCTTGTTCAGTTACCCGAAAAACCCTCAACCCTAAAACCCCAAAACCGTAAAACCCAAAAGAACCCTAAAGTCCAAAAACCCTAGAACCCTAAAACCCTTGCAACCCCGGAACCCTAGAACCGAAGAAAGCTTAAGAAGCCCTAAAAAACCCTCAAAAACCCTAAGAAACCCTAAGAAACCCCCAAAACCCTTAAAAAAAAAAACGCCCTAGAACCCTCCATCACAAAAAGGCTTTTGAGAGCCGGGCGCGACCGTCGGCGTAGCGCTCGACGATCCGGTCAAGATTGCTGAGCTTGTCTTAGCAAATCAAGGCAGGGGCGAGCAAGCACATAAGGTTTCGGGCTTGTACTGTAGGGGTTTGGGCGTTTCGGCGTGCGCAAGCACTGCAACCCTTGCAACGCGCCCGGCAGAGCATCGCAGTTTCGGCACAGAGAGCACTGTGCGGCGGTCTATGAGTAGCCAAGCAAGGCAGAATTCTCCTCGAGACCTACCATACTACACAATGATACGCCTCGGCAACTCCTCCACTCACGCTGCTGGTCAGCCCATTCTCAACGCTTTGAGGACAGCGTCCGGGAGAGCCAGTCCAGACCCTCGTACAGACCGTCTCCCGTGGTAGCGCAGGCGGACTGGATGAACCACTGACGATGGCGCAGGTTGTGCAGTCCAAGCTTCTCAGTAACCTCCGCCGCAGTCATTGCATTCGGCAGGTCCTGCCAGAACAACACCCGGCTTGAGCATCCCGCTTTCTCAGAAAGACTTGGCAATATCATGCTTTCTCTATCCAAAGGGCCTATTTGCATGCCCAAGCATAACTCTGGCACCGCCGCACCTGCTTGTTGGCGAAAACCAAAAGCACCGCATCACGCATCTCGTCTTCGTTCAACATCTTGTTGAGCTCCTCGCGGGCATCTTCGATGCGATCCCGGTCGTTGCTGTCGACGACGTAGATCAGGCCGTTCGTGCCCTGATAGTAGTGGCGCCACAGAGGGCGGATCTTGTCCTGGCCTCCGACGTCCCACACCGTGAACGACAGGTTCTTGTACCTGGCAAGACGAACGTAGCTACAGCCTTGCTACAGCGTCTAGTTGAGTCGCAACAGCCCTGTGGGGACAGCGCTGCACTGCGCTGCTTAAATGCACTTCGAGGCACTCCACAGTCTCCACGTTGAAGCCGATAGTTGGGATCCTCAGGTCGTGCGAACTGACACCTATTTGAACAAGCAAGTGCTGACAGTGCTACTTGCTACTTTCTGAGATGTCTGTCAAGGATCGTGGTGACCACTTCGCCCAACTTCAGCTTGTAGAGGATGGTGGTCTTACCAGCCGCATCTAGGCCGACCATCAAAATGCGCATCTCCTGCTTCCCGATCAGGCGCTGCCATATTTTCGTGAAAGCGAGACCCATGGCTCAGGAGCTTGTCTCACGCCAAGCGGAGAAATTGCTCGGAGAGAAGTCTCAAGACAGGAGCCGAAAGAGCCGCAACCGCCACATTAAACGCAAATCGGCACATCTGAGAAGCGAGGCAAATCAATTTGTCCAGCACACGGTGCATCTGAGCCAATGGCCAGAGCTCTTGCGCGAGGCGTAGAACTTTGTCAGCGCCAAACGCAGTCGCGCCTGGAAGAACTTCAAGATAGAACTTGACATTGCATGGCTAAGTGAATGTCACCAGCATTCGCTCACAAGGGAAGTTGATTGAAGCTGCTAAGCGCTGCAGCCCATGCCCTGAACCCTCAGGCAGGGCGGAGCCCTGTTGTTTCTGCAATTTCAGCCAAGTCCGTGCCCTGTTCTTTTGACAGGTGGCTTCTCATCTCTTGCCTCAGACGAGTGATGGCAAGTACATAACCAAAATGCCTGTAAACATGAGATGCCGCCTGAAATGAAATGTTGTGCCCGAAGGCGGCAATGATGCCAAGTGGCATTTTTGCAGCCACATACTCGCCTGATTCAGGTGCGCAGAACCAGCACGAAAGCACATCAAGCTCGCTCTGATCGTGCAGCTCGGCCGCCGCATGTGGTCTTCCGATACCTCAGTCCATAGAAGGAATTGAAATTCAAAACCAGGCTACACTTACCATCAACCACTTCTTCCTGACTCCAGAAGGAGCTGCCTCTTGCTCAGCAGCATGAGCTGGACCAAGTCTAGCCCAGCCACTTGCTGGGACGCTCGCGGTCCACGCAGGTGGCCAGGCATTCCACCTCGGCATCCTTGCAGGAGGCCATAAGTCCCACCCATACCAACTATTTGCTTGAGAACCCCCCAAAACATGAAAAAAAACAACAATCCCTATACTACCCTTCTAAGGAAGAATATGTGTATTCTTTTGGGGGTTGTTCACCAATTCGCAGATACTCTTCATCACGGACTAGCTGACTAGCACTATGACTGGGACATGTAGGAGAGGGCTCGGCCTCGTCCATGTTGTTGAAGAAAATGGCGCTCCAGCGCGGGGCCGCAGAGGCGTTGAGCACACGATGTACAGAACTTCGAAAGACATCGTTGGTCCTGATCACGACCCCTTTGGCGGTTCTGGATTTTGTGCTCGCATATTCCTTCACAACCACCGGTATGCACAGATTAGAGCGTCCATCTCTGCGCCAAATCGCCGAGGTTGGCCACAGGGGTGTACCTCAGCATCTGCCCGACTCCTCAAATCTGCGCCGGACCCGGCTTCGGTGTTTGCAGCGCACGGAATACACAGAGGCTTACGCATGAAGAGCGTCTGCCTAAATCGGCCTAATCCAAATCTCAACTCTCAAAGTGCATGCCAAGGCTCCGATCAGTTTTCACAGAAAGCCAGGAGCCATCCGGCTTCTGCACCTGCAGGCCTTCAAAGCAGTTTATGTAGGCGGTGTAGCCGATCAACAACAGCTTCGCTCGCATTCCCCCAGGCCTCTTGCCATCCGGCAGTCAGATCAAAATATCAACAGAATGTCTGCTTACCCCCTACTTCCACCCCACGTCCCCGGTCCCTTGAAGCTACCGCGGTGTCCTTTTCTTTGGGGCCCTCAGGCTTTGCTGTGCCTTGGGCTTCCAAACGATCCTGGCAGACCAAGGTCAGGAAGCCACAGTCCTGAGAAATCATTAGGGTTTGGGGTTGAGGGGCTTTTGGGAGACCACTGCACGCACTGATGGCTTCAAGATGCCAGCTTGACTCGGAGGTTCGCCCATCTCTACTCACTGCAGTCGTGTCTCTGTGTGGGCCCCGCAAGACTGATCTCCTAAGCCCAGCGAATGCTGGGAGTGCGGCAACACAGTGGCAAGAACATTGACAAACAAGGTCGGTGCACAAAGCGCTTGCCAAGCTACCCTCACCTGCAGGTGGATAGCAGGCGAGGAGCACCTTTTCAAGTCCACGCACGCGCTGGCTCTACATCTGAAGCACCTTGCAAATCACCCAAAACACCCACACAGACACACTACCAAACACTACCAGCTGTCTCGAAGCCCAGCCTTAGCAATGGGCTTCCGAAAAGCGTGGCTTTCGAAATGGTCGGCCGGCAGATCCAGTGCCAAGCTCAAGCCCCTGGAGCAGTTGCTTGCAATGCTCAAGTCCCGGACGCCAGAAATCGGCACTCGGAAGCAAAGAGTTATATTAGAGAAAAACTATACAAGGGACCATAAGGGACTTTCATTTATACGATTAATCATGATAAAAAAAGAATAATATTAAGAAGATTTAAGAAGCATAAGAATCATGAATGCACACTGATGGCAGCTTCCAGGCCGTCCTGCCTGAGCAGCTCACGCGAAAGCTGAAGCAGGGCGGAATGAAAGCTGCCTCGACCCCAAGAATTTGGGTTTAGGGTCTAGGGTCCAGGGTTTGGGTTGAGGGTTTCGGGGATAGGGGACATACAGAGACTGCAGGACGACTTCTGTCGTCTCTCCCCGCAACAGAACGTGCTAGGGGACCACAACGAAGCGCTGGCCGAGAGTCGAAGCTTGCAGTAGAAAGCTGGCAGTGGCTCAGGCACACCTCACTGATTGTTACGTAATACAAACAGAACATGAACTAACAGCATCACACGAGTGTTGCTGCAGTATCTTGCATCGAAGGCCCTGGCCTTCATCTGCCATGGGAGGCTCGCCGCAGTAAAAGGTCTCTTTTCCTTGTTTCGGGAACATGATGCCTAAGACTTGCAATGGAAGGTACGGCATCCCAAGCATGCCAGTGGCCCAACGAAAGCGCTGCTTGCCGCTTCGCTGCTCTCAGGGCGCGTGGAGGTGAGAGAGCCTCACCGACGCGGCGTAGTGCAAAATTTCCACCGCCAATTCAACTCACCACCCGATAAGATGCCGGGCGGGAATGACGTGCTTCGGAACACGGTTTGGGGACCGGATCGGACAGGGATGAAGAGATAAGAGTGTCTGCATGGGCAAGCCACTGAATGTCCAGGGAGCTGGGCGAAGCTCTGTGTGGGAGCTCCTCTGCCTATCAGTTTACATCTATATCTAAGTTGAGATCTTGATCTGTATATATATACACAGATATTTGCATTTATATGTATACTTACATTTGTCACTCTCTGTAGACATGTATAGCCGTACACTTTGTAAATCCATATCATTCTACATCACTCTGTGTAACTTTCTCTGGAACTCGCTATATAACTCTCGATAGCTCTTCTTATTGCCGACACGAAGTGCGTGCGAAGCGCGGACGTGTGTCCAGTGCATACATGCGTGCATGCATGCATGCATAGGTGTGGCTATATATATATATATACGTATGTATGTATATGTATATGTATATGTATATGTATATGTATATGTATATGTATATGCATATGCATATGCATATGCATATGCATATGTATATGTATATGTATATGTATATGTATATGTATATGTATATGTATATATGTATGTATATGCATACATATATATATATATGTACATATATACATTTAAATACATCTATATATATATATATGTATATATATACATACATATATTGATTATACAGATACATTTATATACATACACATAAAAAAAAGTATGCACAGAACTATGCATAATATATATCTAAGGTTTGTACTGGGGCACGGAAAAAAACTGTAGAACGAAGGGGCTCCCCATCATAAAGCCAAGGCTCAGTTCTGTCCACTCCCGTAAGGGTTGTAACCCCGCCAGGCGCTGCGCTCTGAGCCTCGGCTCTACCGAAATGCCCAAAGAGGCTTAGGGTCTAGGGGTCTAGGGGTTTAGGGGTTTAGGGGTTTAGGGTTTAGGGTTTAAAGTTCTTTCTGGCTCTCCAGTACTCCTGCTCCGATTACAATTAACATCGCAATTGCTATTACCATTTCCATTCCTATCATCATCAGCACTATTATCATTACCCAATAACCATTGTGAGCCTGCCACTATTATTGTTGTTGCTATTGCTACTGTTACATATGGTGCTCACGATGGCTATTTCTGCGGTTACAGATTGAACCGCTGTTGTTGCTCTGCTCACTGTTGTTGCTGCTGTTACTGCTCCTTCCTGGTGCTATCATTGTTGTTGGTGGTGGTGCTGCTTTGGTTAATGATGTTGGTGGTGCCGGAGCTACTCTTGTTTGTTCTTGTTTTTGTTGGGGTTGTTGTGCTTGAATTGTAGATGTGGTTGTGGTCGTTGTCGTTGTGGTTGCAGGTCTCGCTGTGGTCGCTGTTGCTACTGCTACCATCTTTTTGGTTCTGATTGTGGTTTGCTACCACGACTGTTGTCCTTGTTGTCATTGTTGGCATTCTTGTGCTGGGTGTCATTGTCGTCAGGCGGAGGAGGAGGAGGAGGAGGAGCTGACCAGTGTTGCTAAACATTCCTGTTGCGGTCTAGAGTTTAGGGTACCAGAAAGGCTCCCTTCAGTCAGGTACAGGGTTTTAGGAGTTTAGGGTTCAGGGCGAGCTCGTTGCTGCAAGGCCCAAGTGGCTGGTGTGTTTCAACTTCTCGTTCAGCGGAAGCTGGAAAAATTCTTTGGCCGCGTCCTCGCACTAGTTGGCTTCGCTGGATGGCCCTCCATGTTGCAAGACTTGGAGTGAACACGCTCCTGCCCGTCAACAGGCTACACTCAGGCGCACCACCAGGCTACCAAGCTTATCGGACAACATCGGAAAGAAACTTGTGCAGCTTCGTTTCGAAGACTCCATCCAGAACATCTTGAGGGAGCCCGTGGTCGCTCACCAGGAAGAATCCCGTCCTAAACCAGCCGTCTACATGCCGAGGTTTGAGTGCCTGACTGATCGCAGCAAGTGCTTATGGACACCTTGTCTGCTTGCCGAGATGCTCGCAGCAGGCCTGCCGTAGTATGCGGACCTAGCACCCCCGGCACCCACCAGGCAAGCGTTTGTTAAGAGCTGAGCTACCCGCAGCAGAGATCTGCTTTACATCAAAAATCAAAGCTCAGGCACCGCAGGATGGCTGGCATTGGAGGCTTCCCGCAGTTCCGTGATGTTCACAGTCCGCAGGTTCTCCTGGGCCAGAGCACATCGGTTGAGTAGTCACATCAGGCCACTTCTACTTGCTGCCGAAGTGCATTCAGCTCTTTGGTTCCCGGGCTGAGAGCCATTGAGTCGCTTGGCGAATGCTGCATGGATTATAGGTAGACGATGGTGGATGCTACTGGTCAAGTGGGCCTGGCACATGGTACAGGGCAGTCCTGTCATTCTTGCGTGCTGGCTTGTGCTGCGAACTGTGCTACAGGCAGGCTGTCAGCCCATCGCGAAGAAGTGCCGGATAAGGCTGCAGGCATGCTCTACATGGTGCTCTGAAAGTCGGCAACGAGGGCACCACGAAACTCATGATACAGTAACCTGTGATCACGCGTGAAGCGATGTGAATTATGATAAACTGGCACACGCCCTCTGCCTCGTTACGCATGGATCTCGAAGGCTGGGAGCCTCACAGGCATGGAAACAAAACCGCAGAGGCCTTTCCCCTACCTCTCCCCACCTCCAGACTCGTGCAGTCCGTTTGCCATCACGGGGTCTGCCTTACTTGAAAACCGCGCAATGGCAAAGAAAGCAGTTGGGGAGAATCTGGGCTCGTACTGCAAAAGGAGGCGGTTCCGGCCATGGGGGACCGGAAAATCGCCCGCCCTTCGATGCTCTTGACCTTCTTGACGCTCTTACTTCGTTTTGACCTTCTTGACGCTCCCGACGACCCCCGTGTCCAGAGAACAGGTGGTCAAGGTGGTCAAGACCAAGCTGACCCTGTCGAACTTCTTGACACTCTCTCTTGACCGGCTTGTCCCGTCTTGTCCAGAGGACCGAGGCGGTCACAGGTGGGCAGATTTTCTTGACTCTCTTCAGAAAGCCGAAGCCTGTTCAGCTTCTTGATCCTCTTGACCTTCTTGACCTTCGTGACCCTCTTGACTCTTGACCCTTGCCCCACACTCCTGGCCTTCTTGCCCTTTTTGACCTTCACTCTGGACCCTCTGGACCCTCTGGACCCTCTGGACCCTCTTGACCCTCTTGACCCTCTTGACTTTTTTGAGTTTCTTGGTCTTTGTAGTCAAGACGGTCAAGGCGGTCAAGGCGCTCAAGACGGTCAAGAACTTGGCGGTCGTCTCATTTTCCGGCCCCCCGTTCCCGGCAAACTCTTAGCGAATCATGGCCACAGGAGCATAGCACAGGCCATTGCACAGAGAAGCTCCATGCCCCGCCCAACCGTTCTTTGCCCCGGACACTGGGCTGGTCGTTCGGTGAAGTGATGGCCGGCAGCGTGCCAGGGCCTGCAATGCTACATCAGCTTGAACTGACTTGCAAGGCTTGCTTGGGACTTACGGCGTCGGCACTGCTGGACACGTTTGCATGGCAGGCCTGTCTTCGCAGTTTCCGAGAAACTGTCGTTCAGGAGGGACTCAGCTCTGACTGTGGTAAGTCAGTTGTCCCGTGGTGGGGCCAGTTTCAGCGGCAGAGTATTGGACGAGGACATGTGCCCCAACTGGCAATGCTTACACCATCCTACATGCAGTTCTGAGCATCGCTACGTCGAAAAAGTCGTCGATGGAGCTGTCAGCATCAGGCATGGCTGCACCTGCTAGGCTTGCAAAAAACACACCACGCAATCAACTTTGCCGGTGTAGTTCACTCAGGGCACATGAGGGAACCATTGCGGCAGTACACAGCGTACTTCAACACCTACACACCTCAACCTCTCAACACCTCAATACTCCTCAAGGCCGGTCACATCTTAACAGCTCAGCCTCCGAGCGCTCCAGAGGTTGGCCCGCGGCCCTCGCAGCTCGGGTGGGATTAGCATCTCATCGCTCACAGGCTAGTTGGGGGTTTCCGAACAATGGGGGGCACCTTATTGGGGTCCTTATAAGGGAATCCTACTATCTGGGGACTATACTAGGGGTCCCGTATTTTCGGCAACCCCCCCAATTCCCAAAGTTAGGGACAACGGCATGCCAACGGCCTCATCAGCATCCAAATCGTCGAACAGCGCCTCACGGACATGCGTGGGACGGCCAGCGTCCGGCGGTTGACCCGGTGAGGGACACATGTCAGGCGTCCTCAACATCGAAGTCCCCGAAAAGTTCGAAGCCGCTGCTCAGCACATCGGCCTCTCCAAGGATCGAGCCTATCTGCGCGGCTTCTGCCCCCACAGAATCCGACGCAAAGGGCCACACTCCAAACTGCCTTGCTCCATCTGCAAGCAAGGGGCCTTGTCAGAGTTCGGACCTGTGCGACGCAAGGTGACTTTGCGCACCGCACAACCGTAGCTAACAACCATAGCCTCTCAGCAAGCATCATGACAACTATAACTGCAGCACGAACGGAAAAATAAAACCAGAAACCCTGAACCCTAAACCCTAAACCTTAAACCCGAAACCCTAAACCCCAAGACCCTAAACCCTACAAAGGCATGTGGCCTGCGGCTTTGGCAGCTCCCGGGGATCCACTGGACACCTCCGAGAGCCGACTCGGCAACACCCGGCCAAGTTCATCTTTAGTGGCCCCAAGTAGGCAATCTGAACATTGCGACTAAGTTCGTTACTGTGTACGACTTGTGTTAAGTTTGCTAGTATGAACACTATGGGTTCGTTGTTCTTACACCTGCTATTTAAACTAGTAGTGCTTACAAGTTGTGAGTAGCA